TTGAGGCAGCAGTTGATAAGCAGAAATGTTATTGTGTATACATATAAGGGATGCAGGAAAATGATGATTACAAAAAAAAAGAGTATAATATTTTCTTGCTTCAATGATATTACAGTTTCCATGTTCTGTAGAAAAATGAACTTTATAATATCAACCTAATGAAAAAATGTATTAAAATAAGGTTTAATGGACTGGTAACAAGTGACAAAAGGAAATAATATATCAAGAGAAAGTGAATAACAAGGTAAATTATATTTTTAGATTTTTTTGATTAGCAATATGATATTAATATATCATTTTAAACCAACGCTGTGGCCATATCTAAAAATATATCCAATTGCCCAGGTTTTTTAAAAACAACAACAAAACAATGAATTCTGCCTTTTGTAAAATTATTAATTATTTTTCTTTAAATCTATGTACAAATTATAGTAAAAGCAAAACCAATATCAATGTGTTAAAATGCAAAAGTCCAGTTAAAAGTCAAAAGTGATGCGTGAATAGCCACAATGGAAAGTCCTGCCCTCAGTTTTGTTATTTCAAAACATGCCACTCTTTCAGATAAAAAGATACAGAAATAGTATGGACATGTTAAAGACTATATGGTATGGATTATAATGAGAAAGCAATGACATATTTTCAAATTTCAACCCCTGTAATTTGTTTCATGTTAGTTAATGGGGTTTTTGCAAAAAATTACCAAGTGTAAATGATGGTCATTCTACTTGTTACTCCAGTAATTTGAGTACATACAACAATTCAGGTTCTATTTTTGCTGTGTAAAAATGGATAGACTAAATTTCTATTTAAACCAACTTTTTAGAGGTAGAATTCTTCCACTTTCTTTCTTTCATGCTGATATTAAGAGAACATGTATTTTATTTCAGAATTCATCAAAGAGAGATATTTAGCAATTTATATGAATGTATTCTTTCATGTTCAGATTTTCATAGATTAGAGCAGGGGTCCTCAAACTATGGCCCGGGGGCTGGATACGGCCCTCCAAGGTCATTTACCTGGCCCTTGCTCAGAGTCAACCTAAGTCTGAAATGACTTGAAAGCACACAACAACAACAACAACAACAATCCTATCTCATCAGCCAAAAGCAGGCCCACACTTCCCATTGAAATACTAATAAGATTATATTTGTTAAAAATTGTTCTTCATTATAATTATTGTATTGTTTTTAAGTGTTTTTGAACTACAAATAAGATATGTGCAGTGTGCATAGGAATTTCTTCTTTTTTTTCAAATTATAATCTGGCCCTCCAACAGTTTGAGGGATTATAACTTGGCCCTCTGTTTAAAAAGTTTGAGGACCCCTGGATTAGAGGATTGTGAAGTGTCCTAGAGGCCCTGACATTCTTAATGAAGAAAAAAGAATAAATATGGTTTCAGCAAAATAATAGCCTAAACAGGAATTTTAATTATTTGTCAAAGAGTCTGAGAAAGCTGCCAGAAATGATGAACCTTCAGTTTAAAATCTGTGACCTGTAACAAATTGTTTCAGCAGGATGAAAACATGGATGGATACAATTATGTTTCAAGAATTATGCCGTAATGGCAACTTCTTTCATTATATGTATGTGTGATAAGTAACCTTTTCTAGGCATTTTAAAATCAGTTTAGGGTATTTTTAGACATGGGTGACATTGCTAGTGTAATTTTTCACATTGCATCCCATTCTGTTATTATCCCCATGAGGCTTTTTTCAAGCTAGGTAACAGGAAACATAATGCAAATTTAATGAGTAAAGCCCTCTCCCCCATTTTATTGCATTTTAAAGGCTAGGGAATCACATAATAAAAAACTTTTTTAAAAAAGTGGGTTTTCAAGCTCCAAAATACCTATATAAAGTAGTTGTAGGTCATCCCTAAGCATTTTCTTGGTGATGAAAAACAGTACTATAAATTAATGGCTCTCCACCTTTGGCCTTGCTAACATTTTGGACAATGTGGCTAGTGATCAGGGATTCTGGGAGTCAACTTTCAGGACATCTAGAGAGCCAAAGGATGAAAACTACTCTTATAAGGATTAATTGCTCTAATTTCATGTTATGCTATTTTAATAGAAGCGGGCATTTCTTTTACTACAATGGTATCATATTGAAAAATATGTTCATGGTATTCATTTTAAATCACATACATTCATAATTAATTTCTGTTACTCCTTGGGTAGAGGAATTAATCAGCTGTTCGCACATTCTACTTTTTTAACAGATGTATTCAACAAAATGGTTTTATTTATAATAAGGGGTTTTGCCACTAAGGTCCTACGAATTAGTCCTTGTACAAGTAGCTGCTTTCTCTTTGAGAAGGTCAGGGCAAAGTTCTGTGGTGCAGTTTAGAAGTACTGCAGTGCAGAGCAGTTGTTAAATCAATGTTCGTTCCCAGAGTTCATTATAAAAACTTGAAGTCTCTTTATAGCAATTCCAGTCAGCATCTTGTGTAATTAATTATACTGCACTTTGACTTTGTTCAGGACAAGGTAAAATAATATTTAGTCTTCTGGCCAATTGTTCCTTCATGAATAAAACAGATGGTAGAGTTTTCATGAGATGTTTAACATACAATTGATGTTATATTAAGATGGATCCATGAACTCTTTTTCAAAAAGCATATGGTGATTTTTTTTCTCCCAAATCATATTTTCCCCCTTGTCTTGACCTCATTCGGTGTTTAATTTTCTATCATCCATAATTTAATTTATCATTGTCTACTATGGGTGGAAACCAATTAAATTCTTCAGGACATAGTAGTAAAACAAGGAGTGTAATAACTATTCCCATATATCCTCAGTATCTGCTTTTAGGACACATTTTGTGAGTTAGCATGGAGGAGAAGGCTTTGCTGTGGAAGCAGACTTCTGTTTGAACAGTATTGATTCTGCTCTATATCATGTATTTTTATACACATGTTTATGGCAATTTGATTTTTGTTACTTTTAGTTTTATGAAAACTAAACATGCTACAAGTAGCAGTTTTCTGGGACTCTCCCATTCATTATGAAGAGAGAATTTCATCACAAGGAGATCAACATCATGATAAAAAAATATTTAGAATGATAAATAATAATTATTAAAAATCATGCAAGCAAAAAAGAGAATTGTTTAGAAGTTTTGATATTCACACTCTCAGTTGCTGAACTCACATTGTAGGTGTGTACAACTCTGTTAGCCAGGGCAGATTTCTTTCTGACTTCATTTCAAAGGTGGATCTTTCCACCAAACCAATCCTGCTATATAGAAGTTGGATAACATTGGCGAATAAAATGGTGTGTGCTGTAGTGAGAGATGTGGAATATCAGGATGAGACGTTTAACACATTTAACATGCACAGAAAGCAGATCTTAGGTTCAACATCTTTAGGTAAAAGTAAAGGTTTTCACCTGACATTAAGTCCAGTCATGTCCGACTCTGGGGGTTGGTGCTCATCTCCATTTCTAAGCCGAAGAGCCAGAATTGTCTATAGCCATCCCCAAGGTCATGTGGCCAGTATGACTGCATGGAGCACTATTACCTTCCCGCCAGCACGGTTCCTATTTATCTACTCACATTTGTATGTTTTCGAACTGCTAGGTTGGCAGAAGCCGGGGCTGACAGCAGAAGCTTTATTTAAACTAGATGCAAGCATCCCAAATAAACCATCTTCTGAAACTGTGATGACACAATGGATTGGTTGGTACTATAAGTTGGTGCCCCCAGATCCATAATAGGGGAAAATGCTCTGGAATATTGCATGTGTTACATACAGTTGTTGCAATTACAGCAATTCATGCCACAAGTAAGGCCAACTCTTACCATGCTTTTATGGCACTTTGAAAATGTTACCCCTCCCCCCCTTTAAAAAAGCCTTTTATGTATTTTGACAAATAATTTTTCAAGATGAATGGAAATATTATGTAGCACGTCACATATGTATTCTGCATATCAGATGGACTTACAAAAGAAGAAACTTTTAAAAAAAGCCATCCTGATCAGCTCTAATCCTCTTTCCTTTGTTTAATACTGTAAAGGGAAAGGGAGTCATATCTTACCCAGCACATAATCATCATCATCATCGTCATCATCATCATCATCATCTTTATTTGTACCCCGCCACCATCTCCCCAATGGGGACTTGGAGCTCACCACAAAGGATTGTTTTCCTCCTCCTTAGCTATAGTCGACTCAAAGATTTTGAACACTGTGCATTAGACTAAGCAGAAGGGAGAACTACCATCATCCATAATTTAATTACCATTGCCTACTATGAGTGGAAACCATTTAACTTTTCAGGACATAGTAGTAAAACAAGGAGTGCAATAACTATTTCCATATATCCTCAGTATCTGCTCCAGAAATTTGTGGTCCTGTAGGACACTACCATCATTGTTCTTATGCATTCCCTACGCTTGGCACTGTGAGCTGAGAGGGAATAACAAGAGTACTGTGAGGGTCTTTGTGTTGGTCAGGTAATAATCATAAACACCATGTTATTAGTGTATTCTCCTGAAAAGCAAATGTTTAACATATAGGTCTGAAATGGATATAAAGAAGCTAGTGCCAATTGCTCAAAAATAAAACATATATTATGATTCTAGTCATAACAGAAAGACAAGTCTTCAATCTACAATGTATTTTTAAAGGAATTGTCAGCGCTCATGTGTCTTTTTATTTATTCAAAGGTACCTCATAGCCTTTATGTAAAACAGCTATCATCAGGTCAGCTTGGCAGTGAGTGGTGACAAGTCAACATGTAGTTTTCTTTTGCTGACACTCATCAATTATATCTTCTGTTCGTCTTCTATATATAAATATATATTTGGTCAACTTTCATATGAACTGTGCATTGTGATGCAATGGTTAACCTCATGTTAATAAATTAGTTAGTTGCCACTTGCCAAATAATGTATCTTTAATGTGATGAACAAAGTGGAATTTTATCTGATGAAATTGAGCAGAGAAAAACACAATTCCAAAGAAAAAAGTTAGCATCCAGTGCTACTATGTGTCCCACAGGTTCTTCTTCCACTTTGACCCAAACTGCCTCCACTGGTGAGTTAGAGGAGGATATTGCGGCAACTGCTGGTGACATTTCTGTTGCTAGCACATCTGCTGATGTTACTGTATCCAGTGTTACTACTGTCACCAACCATAGAGTTTCCGAAGAACAGCGAGGGCAAGCTGTGAATCTCAGGAAATCAGATCTGGAATTCGCCACTTCAAAGGAATCGCTCTCCCTTCAATCAGCAAATACCCAAAGTACCAGAAGACGACCACGAAATGCTGAGCAGATAGAAAGAACTAAAGAGCTTGCAGTTGTTACTCATAGAGGTATTGGACCTTATTTTACTTGTGCCCATTTAGTCTACAGCCATAGATGTGTCATCTACAGTATTTCTTTTTCTTTCCTGATTCCATCAATGAAAGTGTAGGAAAGGGCTATGTACTCAGCTATCAGGATCTGGAAAATGGAGGGGATGGAAGGTTTATCATTAAAAGTGATTGGATATTAATTGAAATTTGACAATCCAGTGTGGCCTCTTCCTGCTCACTTAAATAAGCAAATACTATTTTGCAACGAGTACAGATATAGTACCTTTAAACATAATTCATGGCTTCTGCATTGAATTCAAATGAAACTGTTTCCATTCATGTGGCATTCTTTTCTCATATTTTTCTTTTGTATTATTTGTCATGGGGATAAGTCCTGTCTTTGTGGTTGCCTTTAAGCCACCATCTTTAATATTTGCAAAATACTAGACAAATCGGAATATGACCAGAAAACACAACCGTCCCTAGCTCATTGTATAGGCAAGGAGCCAAGCTAAACTGGCTGTCATATCTCTATATGGCTGCACAGTAGGAGAACTGACTTTTATCAACAGCATTTAAAATAGTTGATAAATAAGTGTATGCAGATGAACTTTAAAATTTTAATAATTTTGTATGATTGATACAAAATTATAAAATTCAGTTTTGTGGAAATATCTTTTGTCCTATTTCATATGGCTCTTTTAGCATTGACTATTGTCCAACTTCCAACTAGAGAAAGGGAACAAAATATTATTCCAAATATTATCTTGAAAAGTAATAAATATTTACTATAGCAGTTTGTTTCACCTTGGAATTTATAATCTGAAATGCAATTTCAGGTATATAATTTTCAAAAAAACGTAACACAGAAAATACTTAAATCTTCATTGCATCAAATTGAGTTCACTCTGATGAAGACTAGGTTTTAAAAAGGAGTAGTCCCATAATGTAAAGTTAGAAACCCTTGAAGTTTTGGATAACAAATGTTAATTAATGCTATTCTGTTTTTGACATATTATATTAATGTAGAGTTTCCTGCTTATTTGTTATGTGAATTGTACCCCTGACCTTTCCAATAAATTCTTACTGAGATTCAAGGCAGTTAAACGCAGTAATAATGAAAACAGAAATCCTAAAATGAAATCACAAACAGAGATAAAAACAGTATAGTTTTAAAGGTTTATCTTTTTAAAAGAAAATGCTAAGTTTTAAAGGAGATACGCGCACACATAAACCTTGCTGGTACTGAAATTATGTCATATTAGGTGTCATTGAGTCGATATTAACTATTTGAGAAATCACATCTGAGTCATTAATACATTCAACCATATATTTTATGAAGGTTGAAAATTAAAAATCAACTGTAATGCAGTTAACAAGTTATGCCTGTTCAAAGTGAGATTGTTACGAGATCATCTTTGAACACTGAGCCTAGTCATACATGGAGGTGACACATCACTTCAGGGCATTATTTTGCCCATAAAATATGTATATTTTTGTAAAAAGAAAAAATTCTGCAGGTATTAAACTGTGGCTTCTTGGCACCTCTCCAGAAATTTGGTTGAGATAGTGCTATGTATTTGGATCTTTGCTTCATCTATTCAGTCGATATTCATTTTAGCAATCATACTTACATATAGTTCAGCAGGGTTTATTTCTAGTAAAAACATATAGGATTGCATTTTTAAAGTATCCAACAACATATTGAGAATGGGAAGTGTGATTTAACAACATAGACATGAACTGAAGTACAATATTAATTTATTAAGCAGTGGGTTGAGCATGGAAATGGATGTATCGAGAAAGAGGAAGAGAGAGACCTCTGTAACCATGAATTTTCTATCCACAGATCCAGCCATTCACAGTTTAAAAATGCTTTTAAAAATCCAAAAAAACAAACACTGATTTTGCCATTTTAAATAAGGATGGCATGCTCTATGCCTTTGAATATAATGGGAGTTGAGTATTCACAGATTTTAGTGTCCATGGGCACTCTTGAATCAAACCCCAGTAAATATCATGGGGTTATATTTTGACTAAAACATCTAAACCTATATATGAGTATATATATACTCATATATACATTGTTTCAGTGCCACATGCTTTGCCTAAGGGTGCTTCCAGACACCACCAAAATGCAGATTTTAAAGGGGGGATTAAAGAAAACCTGAGACCTCAGAGCAGTTCTGGACTTTCTTCCCCCACCGTTCTCACAGCCTTTCCATGTCTTGGGATCAAATGAAGGGCAGACGGGGGACATCTGCCAGAAGTTTTTTGAAAAACAAAATCATTCAATTATGTGCTGATGCTCATATACCAACATGCAAATATCTCAATGTAAAAAACATAAAGGTTCCCATGTGCACATCTAAGCATCAATGCATAACAGTGGGAATTTTAAAAATCCGCCAAATTTCTATCTTTTCCCAATTGTTTATTAACAATCTATTTAATATTAGAAAGTTTAAAACAAAAACTTTCAGATGCATGTAATGGCTCTCCGCTTTTCCCTTCTTTAAACCAACTGGAAATCAGCTGTGTCTCTGTGGGAGCCCGAACAGCTGATCAGCTGTTTTGGGCTTTTTCAAACCAGCACAGGTGGGAAGCAATCTCCACGGGGTGTAAAGAGGGAAATCCTGAACTTGACATGACTGCAGGCCCACATGATCATGGGAAAATCCACTTTTTTTGTCAAAAGCCTTTTTGAAATGAATTTTCCCTCCTTTGCTGCAATTGAGCGAGCAATCCAAGCATCATCTGACCCCCCTCCCTTTAACCCATTATCTCCCAGAGTATAGCTACTGTGTGGAAGGGCCCTAAGAGAGAATGAAAGATCTGTTTATTTCAGTTGGCTATATCAGTGGTTTCTTGGTGAGAAAGTGTCATAATATTTTGTCGAAGGCTTTCATGGCCGGAATCACTGAGTTATTGTAGGTTTTTTGGGCTATATGGCCATGTTCTAGAGGCATTCCCTCCTGATGTTTCATCTGCATCTATAACTAGCATCCTCAGAGGTAGTGAGGATCCTCTGAGGATGCTTGCCATGCAGATGAAACGTCAGGAGAGAATGCCTCTAGAACATGGCCATATAGCCTGAAAAAACCTACAACAACCCTATCATAATATTGGGCCAAGTTAACACAGAATAAACTGCTGAAAGAAAATAGGGAAAATAACATTCTCTTTTCTTCTTTTGGTTACTCTTCACATTTTTTCTTCTTTCTTCCTATTTTATTTGGCTTCATTTGCTTACAATGCCATTCAATTCATGTAAGATGTATTGTATCATGTTATTGGTGATAAAATTGTATGGGTCTTGAGTTATCAACAGATTATAACAACAGAGCCTAAATTATTTCAATGTTTTAGTACACTGTTTAGAATAACATAGAAAAATAGAGATGGTTTTCAACTGTTACAAAACTCAGTACAAGGAAATTTCAGTTCTGTCTTCCTTTATTTTACCTGCTTGACTTTGTGGTTATTTAACAGGTTGCTGCTGTTAATGTTTATCTTTACTTTTTCTGACTTATGGTGATCCTAGAGCAAACCTATTATTATTATTTTTTCTTGACAAGATCTGTTCAGAGGGATTTATCATTGTTCTTGCCCTGAGACTGAGAAAATGTAACGTGTCAAAGATCACCCAGTGGGTTTCCATATCTGAGAGTAGATTTGAATCCTGGTCTCCAAGAATCATTGTCTAACACTCAACTCACACTGTGTCATTTAGCATTTTAAGAAAAAATAATGATAGCTAGGATTTTGTGTGTGATTTTTTAAAATAAAAAGAGAGAGAATGTGTGTGTGTGTGTGTGTGTGTGTGTGTGTATGAGAGAGAGGGGGAATTGGTTTTCCTTTTCTCTGATTACACTTAAGAATCATTGGACTTGGGTTTTCATAACTGGTAGAATCCTTTTAAGTTTGATTGTGGTCTTATGTAATGGTCATCTCAGAAACACATCACAATGTTGCCATGTAAGAGTATTCAATGCTAATTAATTGGTTTGTTTAATGGATGTCGATATTATAGGATAACCTTACTAATTCTCTTACACATTGATGGATTTAATTTTTGTAATTGGTGGAATTATTTACTAGTCTTAACTGTTGTTAAGACAGAATGCTATAATCAGTTCTAAGTCAGAAGACATGAATTGAAAGTGATTTTATTCATGCTTAATTCCTACTTTTAATCGTTATTAAAAGTTGCAAATTGAATTAGTACATTTGTAGCTTCCTTCAACAAGATATTTTGTGAACAACTTAAAATTAGAAATAATCTGATAGGAAGAAATAAGGCACAACTAAACATTATAATAAAGCATATTTTAGTAGTACAGCATGAAATTTATTTATTATTTATTTATTTATTTGTTGACCGCCGTTCTCAGCCCTAGGGCGACTCACGGCGGTGTACAACATATAAAAACGGTTTACAATAAGGGAATATCACAACGAAATATCAACATGACTATCACTAATACAATTACAATCACACTAAAT